TCTGATGTTGCTGTGATGCTCTTTTTTCCCTAACTCTTTAGGATTTGCAAACCTGGGACACACTCAGATAAAAGGTGCAATTCCAAACGTGGAAAACTTCATTGTAATGGAGTCAGAGCTTTGGAGATGCTCTCCATTTTCCATGTGCTGAAGTGAATCCACCTGGAATGGCAGACTCTGAGGGATCTGGCTCATACTTGATTAGACCCTTCTCTGCGTTCGTGTGCCATCTTCTCCCTGTTCAAAGATGCCAGAGAATCTTCTTGCCTGGGAAAGTAACAGTTCCCAAAGCTTGAGAGAGCTCCTGGCACAGCTTTTGAAGGTGGTGTCAGTACCAGTGCAAAGCCAGGGATTACTGGAAGGAGGGAAAGTGGGATCTGGAGAAAAATCTGAGAACGTCTGCTCTTGTTTCCATTGGTAGTACCATCCATGTATTATATAAAATACAAAAATAAGAGAAACTGATAGGAAATTAGTACAGCCCAGGATTCTGGTGGTATCAAATCACAAATGACATTTCTGATACCGAATCCTTTAGATGTATTTATCCCCTTGTGATTCAGTTTCCTATATATTATTCTATATATAAGATATAGTTTTCCAAAGATACAGATATATATTCCTTTACAGGTTAAATAAAAGCAAGTCCCACCAAATAAGAAAATAAGAGGAAGTAATGTCCTAATTATCTACCCATATCTTTTTTTTTTTCTTTCTCAGGTAAAAATAGCATGAAATACATTCAGTAGCAAAGCAGTTGGAATCCAGGGGAAATGGAGAGCCCTGTATTCCTGGAGCATTAACCTGTACGTGTTAAGTCACGATCCTGAAATAAATTACATAGACTTCTGACTTGGGAAAGAAAGGATCTTGATCAACACTGAGTGTTATTTATCCAGTTGCAAATTCTTTTCATTTCCCCAAACCCATCTCTGGGTTAGCCCAGGTTGAAAGGCTGCTGTGATGTATACCTAACCTAACTTGAAAGGTCCCAACATCAGCGTGTCATTGTGTCTCCTCTTAGTAGTATTACTTGGAAGGAGGTACTGGGACAGCTCCCAGTAGGATATTAGCATAACAGACAGACAAATCATTTAGTTCAAGCCTTTGTGTTTGCAAGAACACCACGATGCCTGGTGCTGCATGTGCTCACAGCCCCGGCTGTACATGGCATCGCGTGTCTCCTGCAGCCAGTTGTTTGCAGAAGGGCCTGCTCTGCAGGGTTCAGCCCAAAGAGAAACACCTCTGCCCTGCTCTTCACACTCCGACAGTAAGGTGTACTAAGGTTTTTCTCTCCAGCAGTTGGAAGAAAACCACCACTGTAAGACAAGAGTGGTTTTGTTTTCAATGCCACAGGTATTTAGGCTTATTAGGTTATGCAGAAGTATGCCAATTATCCCTGAGTCTAACAGAAAATCAAAATCAGAGGTATAGTTCTCCCACACATCCAAGTAGTGTCACGGATTTCACTGCAGCTACTAAATAAAATACTTACAACCTGTGGAGAAAGCATGACTCTCTAGCTTCCAAGTACTGATACTTCAGTGCCAGTAAATTAAGATTTTTATTTACTCCTAAATGGCCACATTCAGTCAGTGAATGACATGGTGACTCTGAAGTCAATGGGATACTTCATGCTTTGTCAAGGGGCTGAATTCCTGCTGTTCTCCACTTTCTTTTTATCTCCCTCTAAATAACCTGGGTTTAGAGTTGTTTTTAGCACACTGGCACAGATGAAAGCATCTATCTAAAAAGAAATTTCAAGGGCCAACCAAGAGAAGTCCTTTAAAATGTCTAACAAGGAAAAAAAAATTGTTTACCTATGTAAGCAAGGTAACTGAGCTGTAGCAAATTAGAGAATACACTAATTAATGGGCAGGACAAGGATGTGTTTGTCAGCTGGCAGTACTGACTGTGTGGCTGGCTACCCTTCCTGAGACTGGTTTTGCTAAACATTAATGCATACAGACCTCAGGGATTTGGGATTTTCTTGGATTAACACCACACATTATATTTTCTGTTTTACCGTTTTTAATTCTTGCAGGGTACATTTAGAACTTGTTAAACTCGGTGAAAAAAAAAAGTCCTATTACTTTAGACAAGTTTGATTCACAAAGATAACACAAGACTAGTTCACAGATGTGCCATGTAACTAAATCAGCCTTGCTTCATTTATCCTGTAAAGTGTTAAAAGTAAAAACAACTTATTTTTAAAGTGAAAAAACCACTTTTTTGTTTTGTTTTGTTCATATTGGGCATCTCAGATGGATCCAACAAGATAAAACAGTTGTACTAAAAATATCTTTGGAGGTTTGACCCTCATCAAAGTAAAGGCTTTATTTCAGAACTGTGCACTCTCAATAAAATTAAAAAATAAGATTTAGTTTCCACATATCTATTTATAAAATTCAGATTAGTTTTAATATAAGTTCGATGTGGAAATATAGTTTAATACTGACTCAGGAAAAAAAAAAGATTAACCACTCCAGACTTAGGAGCTATGTTAGCTGTTCCAGTGCCACATGAGAATAACAGTTTCAGTGAGACTGTGATGACGTGTCCTGCTGAAAGCTGAACAAGGAGGCAGCTATCCCTGACAGTCAGTCAGTCTGGGATGTGTGTGCACGTAGGTAGCTCTGTCACATGCTGCCAGATAAAAAGGGGTAATTAAAACCCCGATTTGTTTTCTCCCAGGAAGCTGTTTCCCAATAGAATGTAGGGTCAGCAGGTAGAATTTGAGCTTGCCTGGTTTAATCCCTCCCACAGTCTTGCTCCTTTCCTTGTTTCTGAATATAACTGTGCTTATTCATCAAGATAATGCCATAGAATTATTTTTGTTTATTCTTTCAGTAATGTTGAGAAGACCCAGTTTCCACGGAAATATTACTCTTCCCAATGCCACTGCTACAAGCGCTGCCGTGGATCTACAGATGGAAGGTGAAAATTGTTTACTGCCTTTATGTCATTGCCAAGAGTGATAAATACAGCCATTGCTTTCTGAAACTTTTTTTGCTGATGTAAAGCAGCTTCCATCCTACAAGGTTTTGAAATCGTCATGGCTAGCAGGTAGCAGACACATTTTTTGTCACAGAAAGTCAACTTCCAGAGTCAGAGAGCTGCTACACTGAGAGAGACGATGTTGTGTCAGAGCTAGTTCCATGAAACGTGGTGAGCTTATTTAGCACGTCTTTTTTGTGAACTGGGGAAGTCCCACTCCCATGACTGGACCCTTTGAGATGATTTAACTCACTAACTTGGCAAAAGACTAATCGGGGGGGGAAAATCCACCTACTTCTGTTTTTTTTATTTTAATAATCTCCAGTAAGTGCCAAAGCAAGGACAAGGACACAACTGTACAACAGGGAGCAGGAGGGTCGAGATCTTTGAGCAGCAACAAGCTGTTAACTCAGCTGCTCAGGGAATCACAGTCTTAACCATTTTTAAAAATTATTATTATTATTACTGCATTTTTCCAGTCAAGGTTTTAAATACACTTCTGAGTATGATTTAAGATAAATGAGAAATGTGGACACTTGTCAAACCATCAGTGTCGCTCATTGGCACAGTGCTCTCAAAGGTAACAGTCAAATGTATTCTTACACGTCAGTTCACATGTGTGATGCGGATCATCGTCAGTGTGAAGGGTACTGGTAAGTGAATGACTAATGCTAGGTTCAGACAGTCACAAGAATGGAAACATTTATGCAAATATTATTAGCAAGAAAGCCAGGGAAAAAAGATTTTTGTTCCTATTTGCAAAAGAAATGACTTCTGCTTTTTCTCCCCTTTTTTCTCACTGTATTAGTATTTCCAGATAATCACTGTTCTTGCAGGTACATTTTAAACTATTAACATTGTTTTACTCCTTACTCTTAGGAGAGAATTTAGTTGCACAGTTGTGTCAGAATAGTGATTTTATTTTGATCTCTACTTCAAACAGCTGCCTGCCTTTCAGAATCATTCCTCTGGCACAGGTAACATTAAATTGGTACTGCCCTGTTTAAAATAATTCACAATTATGCTTGACAACAAAGCACAGGATGGTTATCATAAAATTTTATTGTACAAAACTGACAAGATATGGCATTCCTTAGAATTAAAAAAAAGATCAACACAGAACTAATGTCCCTGGAACAATTTTGTAAATGGAACAAGTAATACACAACCTTTAAGTCCAGCAATGCTATTTACCTGCAAGACCATCTTTAGACATGACAAGTATAATTAAAAAAATATTCCATCAGTTCAAGCAATAGTTTAATTTTCCTTGAAATAAGTATTTCTATAAACACTTTTATGTTCAATCAAAACAAATGCTTTTGAATTTTCTTACCTTAAGAGATACAGAAAAACCAGACAGGTTTGGGAATCATCAGAGAAGTCTACCCCATGGGAAAGTCTAGGTTTTTGTATTCCACTTGAAAATGTTTGTTTTTATAAAAATAAGTAATACCAAAGTAGCATTTCCTAACCAAATACTTCTAGCAAACAGATCTTAAGCTTCTGTGATGTTTTATTCATCAGTGCAGCACAAGCCTTTTGGGTTTTTTATTTGATGCCTCGTTTCTGTGTCAAATTCCGAATTTGAATATAGACCCAGGGAAAAGTTTTCATTACTTTTATTCATAAAACCTACCCTTTATTGCACAGGATTTACAAAAGGGCAAAACTATGCAAGGTCTGCACTCTGCTCCTCAGCGAAAACATGAAATACATGTTGAACAGTTTTCCCTTTATCCCAGTGGAAGGAATTATTTCTTGGAATTCTTAATATAAGCATGAAATAAAAAAAGGGAACTAGGTAACTTTATGTTAAATTCCAGTTCAGCTTAAACAACAGTGCTACAAAGAACTGGACTACTTGCATTTCTGAAGGAAAAAACAATCAAAACTAGGAAATTATCAGGGAAGCTGATAAAGGATTGTGCCAAGAGAGCACAAGACTATCTCTGCTACGGCCTAAGCTTTACAAAAAGTGCTTCTCTGCAGGACGCAGTCCCTGCGATAAACTTCTGAGATGGTCCCAGGGCAGAAGTGATCCTAGACACCCGCACACACGCTACTACTTATGACACTGTGCTTTCTACAAAGAGATGATGCTTCAGGACTTTACAGCTTCCATTATCTCTCTTCCTCCAGAAGAAGAAAAAAAAACCTTCTATGCAAGATAAAAATAATTAGTCATGTATTAAAGACCTAGTTTTGAAGTATTTATTTAACATCTAGTCATATAAAATAAAGTGTAAAAGTATGAAGGTATCAGAACGTGGCTTTCAGCAAGGCAGTTTGGGAAGTAAGAATTCAACAGAAAACAGGAATTATTTTCCCCCCTCCCTTCCTTTGAAAAGGGTCACATCAGAATGAATGAAAAACACCGAAGAATTTCACTTCAAGCCTGCACTCCTGCCTTTTGTCCTTTTCCCCAAGAGGAGAGACCACTGGAAGAATCCTCCAGGGTTTCAGCTGTGTTGTTCTTTGTGCTCTGGTAGTGGGTCTGGCTGGAACTATGTACTGCCCTCACGGGGCGGCAGGGGCGGCGGGGGCTGCTGCGCTGGCTGCGTGCCTGTGGCCGTTTTGATAGAGTTCAGGGTTTTGCTAAACCAAGAGTTTTTGGCAGCTTGGATTTCATTCATAAGGGCTCCTCTCTGGTGTTCCAGCTCCTAAGAAAGCAGAATAGTCAGAATTGATCAAAAACCTAATTAATGAACAAACCAAAAAGCATCCTCAAACTCAGTCCCTGCAAGCCAGCACTTTCCTTGTAACCTCCCAGGCACTGGGGAGAGAAGACAGGTTGAAATTGTGGAAACAGCAGAAGATATTTAAATATACAAATAAAAACTTATTTTATTTTCCTTTTTTTTCCTTTTCTCTTTTTCCTTTTCTCTTTCTCCCTTTTCCTTTCCTTTCCTTTCCTTTCCTTTCCTTTCCTTTCCTTTCCTTTCCTTTCCTTTCCTTTCCTTTCCTTTCCTTTCCTTTCCTTTCCTTTCCTTTCCTTTCCTTTCCTTTCCTTTCCTTTCCTTTCCTTTCCTTTCCTTTCCTTTCCTTTCCTTTCCTTTCCTTTCCTTTCCTTTCCTTTCCTTTCCTTTCCTTTCCTTTCCTTTCCTTTCCTTTCCTTTCCTTTCCTTTCCTTTCCTTTCCTTTCCTTTCCTTTCCTTTCCTTTCCTTTCCTTTCCTTTCCTTTCCTTTCCTTTCCTTTCCTTTCCTTTCCTTTCCTTTCCTTTCCTTTCCTTTCCTTTCCTTTCCTTTCCTTTCCTTTCCTTTCCTTTCCTTTCCTTTCCTTTCCTTTCCTTTCCTTTCCTTTCCTTTCCTTTCCTTTCCTTTCCTTTCCTTTCCTTTCCTTTCCTTTCCTTTCCTTTCCTTTCCTTTCCTTTCCTTTCCTTTCCTTTCCTTTCCTTTCCTTTCCTTTCCTTTCCTTTCCTCATAAAATCTTTCTGGAAGTTCACAGATATACAGCAGTAGAGGTATATGCTCATTTTTGGAACAATTTATTGCATGATTCAGCATTATTTTGACTGAGAACAAGGAGGTTAAGGAGACTGCCCTGCTGCACTTGGATTCCACCTACCTGGATTTTGCACTTGGCTTCCACAAGCTGCAGTTTGGTCTGTGCGAGTTCCAGCTCCATCTCTCTCAGCTGCTTCTTCAGTGCGTCCTTCTCATCATCTGTTTCTATGCCTTTATTCTCCGTGCTGACAGCAGGCAGCTTCAGTGCCCCCTCCTTACTGAAAATCTCACTGCAGTGTTTGCAGGCCATCACTTTACCCTGAAACACCCAGAAAGCTCATTTTTAATCCACTTTACAGGAGCTGCTGTGCTTCCTGGAAGAGGCATCTTTATGTTAGACTGCTTCTCTGTCACTAATACTCAAATTAGCACTGCAGTTTTCATATTTGACATGCAAAGAATTTGAGAAGTTAGTGAAAAATTTCCAGGGTATATTAACCAGTATAAAAAATTCCTAAAAGCTAATTAGCATGCTCTAAGCACAGAGACTTTGCTCCTAGATTAGGATTGCTCCAGCCTTCTTGCTACCAAAGCTTTGTAATATTTTGCAGTATTTACACCAGCACAATTCACAGGAGTAAATTACATTCTAGGGACTTTTTGTCTTCCATAAAAGCACTTGACCAAATTAATACAGATTTTGATATTTTAATGAATGCCAGGGGGCTTTTCTGTATCTCCAGAAGCAAGTGAGCAGGCTGTACTCCCTACAAGGGCTGAGACTGTCCTGGTGGAGCCTGTTCAGCATCACAGGGGACAGCCCTTTTTGACACCTGACACACAACAGTAAGGTTCTTCTGTGAGCAGAGAGGTGAACCAGTTACTCCTGGCTGAAGATGCAGCACAGCTGGCCTGGCTCTCACAAACTAAAATGGGATATTTATTGAACTATTTCAGCAGATTATAGGAACATCAATCCTAGAATTATTTTTTTATCAATAACATCACTAAAAAGCAACAAATCACGTTCAGCTTGAGTACTAAAGAAACAACTAGAACCTACAGCAGAGGGAAAACAATTCTGCCTACTCAGCAGTGACGAAGTAGAGGGCTGAAATTATTACCTGATCAGGAAACATTTACCTCTAGTGCAGATGTTCCTGGTGAGGGATTTTAGAAAAGGGAGAGGAACTGCTACAGAAATTCTGGGGATGGCCCAGGCTGTGCCAATTACTTAAAGCAACTCTGCTTAAATTATAGAAACTCAGATCTAAACACTGTCCAATTCAGGCAGTTCTGACCCCTCCACTGTGCACACTGGGGTAACAGAATCACAGAATTGTACTGTTTGGAAAAGACCTTTAAGATCACCGAGTCCAACCATAAACCCAACACTACCAATTCCACCTCTAAACCCTGTCCCTGAGCACCTCGTCTACCTGTCTTTTAAAATCTCACCAGGGAAGGTGCCTCCACCACATCCCTGGGCAGCCTGTTCCAATGCTTGACTGTCCTTTAGGTGAGGAAGTTTTTGCTCATATCCAGCCTAAACCTCCCCTGGGCTGGCTGCCCGTTGTGCCTACAACCATCAACCTCACCCTCGTCAGCATGCTCCCAGCAAAGAGTATTTCAAAGAGCAGAGTCACCATCTACTTCCACTTAAGTGGAAGCATATAATCCCCAAAGCCCATCCTAACAACACATTTTCTCTTCTAGAGGGCCTTTTTTTTCTCCCTTTCATTAAAACATCCAAGTAAATACTGTCTCTCTCTATTTCTTGCCAAGAGAATCCATTTCAACACGGGGAAAAAAAAAAGCCAAATACTTTATGTACTTGAGAGTTCTACCCTGTCTGAGATAAGATAAAGAACTGTGAAAGGAAATAAACCCTTTCATTAGTGACATCCCATGGAAAATGCCTGTGGGGCCATCAGTGCCTCTGGGTGGACACCACTGTTGGTGACATTAAACTTCAGTTCCCATTTTGTCCTGTATCCCTGGCATTTAGCAGTACTTGCATTAGAAACATCCCATATGTTGAGGCATCATTCTCACCTTCACAACTTCCAGTTCATCTTTACTAGCCGCTTGTTGTTTTTCCAGCCTGGTACTCAGCTGGGAACAAATCTGGAGCAGAAAAAGCAGTCTCTTAGCTAAAGTTTACTTTACTAAAATATAACCTGTGCTTTTTAACAATTATTTTTGTCAGAGCCAACATTTCTTAAATTCTGCCTCGCTCAGGTACATGCATCCCCCCCTTAACAAATCCACTGCTGCTAATAATGAGACTGAAAAACATTTGCAGTATTCAATAGAGAACCTGAACACAGAGACCGGAACATTTTATGGATTAATTGGTTTATAATGTTTACGCTGTGTTATGTCACAGAGCAAAGAAGCATTCACCCTACGGTACTAAAATTAGCTGGAAGACAGGTTATTCCTGATTCCCTAAATTAGGAGAATGTTAGGAAAACCACAAAAAGATTTATGACCAGTTAGCATGTTTGCTCGCTGAAAGCATGAAATTTAGTCTATCTGATTTAAAGGCTGAGATCTGCAACTCTGAAAATCCAGCTCTTGGAACAGGTTGAAAGAAGTCAACAAATAAATATGAGAAAGTGTGTCTAGAACAGCACCTGTTTATACTCGGCAATAATGGCTGTGGTCTTCTTAATCTCAGATTCTGCCTTCTCTAGCTGCTTCCTGAAGACTTCCTTCAGCTGGGAAATGAAGGAGAGAAGTTACATGGTACACCGAAAGAAATACTCAAAATGTGTCATCAGATTGTTCTCTCAAAGTCTTGCTGTGTTCACAACAGTTCCACACCTTTTCCATACCAAATTCCAGTTCTTCAGACAAGAGTTTGATTTATTCAATATACAAATACTTATTATATTCAGTTATAACCAAATATACTGTGATACAGTGTATCCCCCGCAGGGTAATTCTCTTTCTCTGCATTAAATGCTGGTACAGCGTGGTGCAGAGGACACCAAACGAGCATTACCATGAAGCAGATTTTACTGATTTTGGTTTTGTTTGCACACTGTCACAGATTGTTTGTTTATTTGGAGATGGAATGGGGAGAAGGATCTCTCAGCACAATCACTCCTCAGTAACAGGGAAAAAAACCCCAAACCTGGTTTGGTGTGTGGCGCTGTGTGAAAATACAGCTCACTCACCGTTCAGAACCACTAAATTTTAAGAGCTGTTTCAGTAGGAAAAAGACCTCCACTGCCTTGTTATAGCAAACAGAACTTGGCAACCTCCGTGTTAGAGACATACAGAGAATTAGTGCTTGATTGTTGTAGTCACTGTTGGCAAATGGCAAAAATAAAACCCAGGGTATGCCTTTTGCAACACACTTTTGTGTGTCAGTATTCAGCACGTTAGAGATGTAGGATTAAAAAAAACAAGACTGAATATTTTACAAATGAGTATGAGGCCAGGTCTAGTCAGCAAAAATTCTCCCAACCCTCAACTCGGTTCTGCTGTCGGTTCCAGCTTCAGACAGGAATGATCACAACTTTGTTTCAGCTGAATCCAGAATGGCCTCTTACAGGGCAACAACCCCTCCAGCTCCTTATTTAGATCATTAAAAGAGGTCTGATCATGTCTCCTTAGTCACGACTGCTCACCACCAGTGAAAATGATTATTACAATACTGGGAAGAGGATAAGGTCCAGAAAACTGAACTTTCAGAGCTCAACTAAAGGAAAACATTGAAAAACAGATTAAAAAAAAAACACAAATACCCTGGCACTGTGAATTTTTAATTGCAACTGCATTTTGAGGACAAAATCCTTTCACAACAGCAACGCATTCATGCCTTTCTGCATATCCTTTTGCTTGCTAAATGGGAAAACCTGGAGAATGCCTTACCTGAGCAGTTTCCTCCTCCTGCTTCCGCTTCTCTTCCTCAGTGTCCACTAGCTTCTGTTTGGTCAGGAGAAGTTCCTTGTTCAAAACATCCGCTTTGTCTTCAGCCTAGAATGAGAAATGCTGGTGTGAAGCAGATGTTATCTGTGCCTACGCAAGTGTGTTCGTATATACCTCTCAGAAATATTGCAGATTCAGGTTCCAGCGTTGCCTTTTCCTGCCCTCTGATGGCTAACCTAACCTATTTTTTTTTATCTGAAATTCCCTTTTCAAGCAGCTACTTTCTAAGTTATTCCATTATGTTTCAACAACTGTGCAAAAGGATCCTTTTGCCCAATGTTTACCTCTGCCCAGATGGCAAGTGAGCATAGATACTGTCTCCTACTACAAACCCGATGCAAACAATGATGTGTAGAATATTTTTGTTGGGAACAATGTTAATCTAAGTGAGGGCAGCATGATTTAGCTCCTGTGTAACTTCAGTTAACTCGTTCCATTTTTGCATCTGTAAGCAGGGAAAACAGATATTGCAGAAATCATTAGGTGCCTGCACTGTACCTTATGCAGTGTCTGAGCAAATACAGGTATAAAAGAGACAATCAGGACCACCAGATAAAATGTTTGGTTTATCAGTGCAAATAAGCATTATCTGGAGAAACTCAATACTGTGTGTGTGCTGGAGAATATGAATTTTCTCCTTTCTTTGAAGGGCTGAGCTTACGTTGAAACACACTGGGAATGCTTTGTTTTTGTGAGCACTATCCTCATCCATCACCGGGAGGGAAATGTATTTCTCAATGTCTGTTGATCTCCTAAACCAGGAGATACTCCCTGCATCCCACCACTCCTGTTCAGTGACTAGCTGCCAGAACAGGCACGGGTTGTGGTCAGACAGTACTTAGTTCGCTGAAAATCCAAGAGGGGAAATGTGTAAACACCACATAACAGTACAGGACTTGTCTCTGAGCTGCAGTTTGCTTTGCCACCACTGCCAGAGCTATTAGCTTATCTATCTGCCACAGTGTTAATTAATCATGAGGGTGTCAGTGGAGATTGTGGGTAGCAGAAGCAGCTCCACCAGGGCCACAACTGAAGAGATGGGTTGAGGATTGCTGCATTGCTCAGTGTGTATATGGCTGTATGGGAGAAAGGGAAACAAGCAGTGAAAGAACGGAAAATTGAGAAGGCTGACATCTTAAAACAAAAGAACTCGGGGATGACAAGGCTATTTTTGACGAAAGACCTAAGTTAAATCATGCTCTGAAGGAATGACACATCTTTCCTCCTTTTGTGTGTTCATTCCAGGTTCTCCAAGCAGCTGCAGATGAGGAGTGCAGCAGCACAAAGCTTTTCTTTCAGAGCCAGGTAACTGAGGCGGGGTGTGGGAAAACTTCATGGAGCCACTCTCGTCTACAGAATTACTGCTCTTTAGCAGGAGAGGAAGGAATGGAACTGGCAAAGGTAAGTGCTTGGCAGCTATGTCATGATCCTTGAGAGACAAACTAGCATGGGCAGCAGCAGACTTAAAGCTGCTTTATGCAGAGCTGTTCCTGAGGAAGACAGAGCACCTCACCACGTGGCTTTTGGCCTTCACACGAGATTGCCCACTCCATCATGCAAACAGCACCTCTGCCTGTGTTTGCTCACCAAGACGGCTCTGGGTTTTAGAATCACATGGATCCAAATAAGCAGAGCCTAACTGTCAAAGATCTGACTAAGCAGGAATACAAATTGCACAACTGTGGTCAACAATGTTTACAATTCTGGGTTTAGATAAAGAAAACCAAATAGCTACGGGAAATAAATGGAGAGGCCCTTGCAAAAAAGATTTTACAAGAGGTGCTACAGTTCTCACCGAGCAAGGGACTAATCATGAGGTGGGGTGGAGCATGGCCCTCCTGTGTTCAGTACCTGGAAATGGCTGTTGAGGAATTTATCAACACTACATAAAACACTCCAGAAAGAGGAGGGTTGAGGGTGTAGTTCTCTGACAGTCATCTCTGAGATAAAGGGCTCTGAATGCTGCTGCTGTCCACATTCCAGTCTTTGCAGGAAACAAAAGCAGTTATCAGAGGGCATGCAGGAGCCCTTCAAATTTTTGGTGCTGTGCCACTTCATTATCTCTGAATTTTGTTAGCTGTATTAAAACTGTTGTGAAAAACAGATCCACGTAAGGTGGTAGACATTCTGCAAGGCATCTTCCCTTGACATGAAGTCTTTCAAGGAGTATGTGATACCTTTTCCAAGTAAATGTTCATTTTTTATTATCTGCCTAAAGGTTATGGCTTACGTTTTCTGAAACAATCCACAACAGAGAAGGTGCAGTCAGTTGGCAAGACACCACCGTGAATGCCACAGCTGCATGTCTGCAGAAATCTCTTTCTGACTGCAACTAGAAATGAGGTTGTCAGGAAAATAACAACACAAGTAACCAATCATAGAATCATGGAATGGTTTGGGTTGAAGGGACCTTTCAAGACCATCCAGTCCAACCCCCCTGCAGTGAGCAGGGACATCTTCAACCACATCAGGTTGCTTAGAGCCTTGTCCAACCTGAGCTTGAAGGTTTTCAGGGATGGGGCTTCTACCAACCACCTCTCTGGGCAACCTCGGCCAGGGTTTCACCACCCTCAGTATAAACAATTTCTTCCTTACATCCAGTCTAAATCTCCCCTCTTGTAGTTTAAAACCACTCCCCCCTGTCCTATCACTACAGGCCCTGCTAAAAAGTTTATAATAAAGTTTTTAATATTGTGTTCATGCTTTCGCTCAAGCACACAACAGGGCTCCTAGATGCTGCCAGGCCTGAGCTCAGACCTGCTCTGTTGGCATTACCTGGTCCAGGTCGTTCCGTAAGGCAATTTTGCTTGTTACAAGCTCATGGGCAAGGTCATCGTTCTCCTGCTCCAGCCGCATGCTTGCTTCTTGGAGCCTGCGGTTCTCCCTCTGCAGAAAGAAAGAACAACCAGAGAAGGAAGTTAATCCTTATCAATATTCAAGAGCAGTAAGTGACTATATTGTGTGTGTAAAACACCGAGAAGGCAAGAGTGCACATTAAGACAGGACTGCTGCTCTGGGAAACAACAGTGAATTAAGCCAGCAGTGCAAATGCAGCGATTCCACTTACATCCCAGTGGTTGTGTTTTGTGTCACATAAATGACACACTGATTGTAGGGTTTCTCTGTCAAAAGTAAACACAGTCCTCTCCACGAAAGCACTTGGTTTCTGCTTGCTTATCATCGAAATAAATTAGGCAGATAAAATCCCACCCATCAGCAGTGAACAGGGAATAGTTAAGAGATACTCATAATAATGATTCCAGTTGAAAGTAGAAAGCTGTCATGCTCCATTTTACAATTTTTTTTTCTTCAGGAATCCATAAAAATGGTCTATTTTGTAGATGATTTAGTGCCAACCTCCCATCTTCTGCGGGACCAGTAAAGAACAGCATTTAGCAGGGCACTCCCCAAAGCTCATATAATCTGTGTTGCCATTTGTGCACATTCTTTGTAACTTGCATCAGTGACAAAAGCGCAGGTTTTACAGGATCCTCGCTGAGAAAAAGTGCCAGATGGAGAGGGGACCTCCCTCCCGGAGCACAGGCCCAGAGCCTGCTCGGCAGGCAAGGCACGGCAAAACAAAATGCAGAACTTCAAGCCCGCAGGTCCTGGTCCTCCCCTGCACTGCACTCCCTGCCCCTCTGCACGGGCAGAAATGACTAACTAGAGAAGGTAAGAATACTGGAGAAGAATGAACAGAAGTAATTCATGCTTTTTAAAAAAATCACTTTCAGTGACTGTTCTTCTAAGGCTGAGAAACAGAATCATATTGAAAAGATGTCTGTGGGTCAGTGGACTTCCAGGAGTCCACATCAAATACACATCTTCATCTTTGTAAGAACACAGCCAGGTGGGACAGACAGAGGTGCCTAAAATCCTCAAACGGATTTTAAGAGAGCAAAAAATGTGCTGGCTTTCAGTCACACAATGCCTGTGAATCTTTCATACCAAAAGAGAATGCAAAAGCAATCTGTGTGCTATGGAAACTCAAGGAAAAAATACCAAGTTCACGTGGAAACTCATAGGTGGAGGAACAATAACCTATATGCTGAGATTTCAAAAAGGGCCAGTGTTCAGTTGAAAGGTAAGTTATATTTTCCAAGAAAAGGGAATATGTATCAGCACTTACAACAGCAAAAAATTTCCAAGAGTTGTTCAGAGAATGCCTTCCTACAAAATGTGATTTCTTTGTGTAAGCACATTATTCACCTGCCTTCACTTCCTCCTGCTCACCAACCACGCTCAGTTTTTTGCTTTCCAAACTCATCACCGCGAAACTGCAATTTTCATTTCTGTTGCAAGAAGATTTTGCATGCTTGTCTTAAACAAAAAAGGACAATTACGGCTCTAAGAGGATGCTAAAAAAGGTCTCTTCTGTGCGGGAGCTTCCTCTGTGGCAGGAAGCAGAGCCTCTGCAAATACTCTCTCCTTAATGTGACCCTATTGTGCAACTAGATTATGCCCTGCCCGGTACAGGAAAGTAAGTTTGTTTCCTTTCCAAAAGATCATACTTTAAATAACTTGTTCTGTTACAGAAACTGTAAGTAAAGTACTTTTGTTTTCACACAGTTAAAATAACCACTGCTTAAAGACAGGTAACTCTGGGGATCTTTCTTAATTTGAATCGCACTGTGTTCTGTTTGGGACAAGGAATATTTAAAACTAAAATTCTTCTATAAGGATAATAAAAACTTTAAAGTGTAAAACCAAATTGCAGTCTATAGTAATAATAATAATTTTAAAATGCTCTCCTATGTCTTTATTTCTGTACTTTGTTCAGACCATCTTGGAAATGTGGATTTTTATAGACACAGTGAGCAGTTGTCAGAAAGTGACTTGAGCTCACCTAAAAACTGGGACCAGATCAGGATGGTATTGCTGCCAGGTGCTGCAGCACCAATACCTTTTCATAGGGATGTTGCTTAGAGGGAGAAATCAGCAAATTCTTCAGACTTTCACAAAATAACCCCAGAAAGAAGTTTGCTTTAACATTTTTGCTTTGCTTTTGCCAAAAGCTTCAGTGTCCGCAAAGCAAGCCGCACAATGTGAAGTTGGAAGTTCCTGCTTTGCATTCGCAGACAAGTGTGTAAGCAAGCTACGTGGTTGGAAATGCACCATCCTCCTCTTAAACTAGAACTTACATGGCATGTTTTTAGTAAGTTAAAGATCTCTTACCTTGGGCATCCAGTCAATAGCTAAGAGATGTTTTCATCTCATTCACCATACTTTTAATTGCCAGCTGAAAGTCTCTTACAGGGCCACCTTTACCCTTCCCTCCACACAGGGCAATACCCACGATTAGATGGTTTTTGTCTTTTCCAGCTCCTCCCCCAGACCTAGCAGTGAAAAACTGCCTCCTTCCTCAGGAGGAAACTCTTAATCTGCTTCAGTCTAAATAAAACCTGACTTACTCAGTCAAAACAAAAATAGCAAACAGCTCTCTTCATATCTAACAAACTATTTTCCATGGCTCTGAAATATTGACGGGGTTTTATAAAACACCATTCGCAATGGTATGAAGTTCAACAGATGGAGCTGGTTCCTTACAGCAGGACTCGCATCACAGCATTTTGTAACCTGGCATGAGCCAACTGGTCAGACCTGCTAGTTGTCCTTGGTGTAAACAGACAGCTTCCTGCTTATTCTCTTCACACCACTAAACATTTTTCTCTCCACACCACTAACAATTTACTGACTACGACAACAATTTCCTTCTCTTTGGCATTGCTCAGTTTCTACAATCAGTAAAACAAGATTCCCCTTTCCCAAATCCCTCCTTCCTGTTACAAAAGGCAGCTGATGAACTCTGGCTAGCTTTTAAAAGGAGGATACTGCATTTCCAAATGGGACAAACATCGCTGATACAAACAAACACAAATGAACTTACCTCCTGTAAAGTCACAGACCAATTACTGCTTTCAACCATTGGTGTAAAGACAGTGAAAACAGGATATAAAATAATTTTAAATACCAACAAAGACAGCAAAAAAAAAAAAAAAAGCTGATTCTTCAGTGGGTTTTTTGTTCTGAGTTTTAAAGAGGATCTACTCCAGCTTCCATCACACACCGGACGGAAAGAAGAAGGCAAATTTGAAAGCTGCAGGCAAGCCTCAACTCAGGAAGACTGAAAGGCTGAACTCCACCCTCTGCTCCCTTCAGGAGTAATTCTGACAAGATTAATGGTGATGATCCATCCTCTCTGTGCTGCCACTCAGGCGGGGTGTAAACGAGTCACAAACCCTGTTAAGCAATTCAGTGTCACGTTTTCTGATGAGCAAACGCCCAAACGCCACATCTTTGGGCATGAGCAGATCCTCAATGGAGGAATGAAAACACTGATTAAAATTCACTTTTCTGGATGTGAGCAAACCGATGTCTTGGTAAGCCCATTGGAAAGGGCTCTCCACTGCAGAGGGGCTTGGAAGGAACACCCTGTGAACCTTCATCTAGAAAGCCAAAAGGCTTTTCCAGCAGACTATCCAGGGAAACCTCTCATGGGAAGCAACACGGAGGCTCCTGGAGGTGGTTTGTGTTTTCTCTCTGTTGACTCTGAAGAAGCATTCCCAGAAGTGCCCCAGCACACTGTTTTTAAAAACCACAGCTAACCAACGATCCACATCAAGAGTTATCTTCTGTTTTTCCTCATTCAGTTACCATGACTCTGAATAAAAATAACCAGTGTATTAATTTTTGTTTCCACTTCAAACACACAAAAGGCTATTATCCAAATGACACATTTATTGAGGCAGACAACTTCTCCGTTGCACAACGAGGTCCACAGAGGAAAAGGCGTTTCCACCCTCAGAACAGAACTGTGTACACAAGCAGGGTCTGCTTGCAAAACTCCAGCCCTTCTTGGTAGGTTTAGAGCCTCTTTATTTTAAATCAAGAAGTCCCAAGCTCAACTCCAGCAATTTCTTATCAAGTCAGCCAAAAACCCTGTTACAGAAGTTCTCAAACACAGGAAAAAAAACCCCACCGTGGATAGAAAAATATCAATCTGAACTATATTGCTCTTTTTTTCTGCACATGCAGCTCTCTTTTCTTCCTGTCTTCTATAGGCAATTTGTAACTTATTTCAAGCAAATGTAATGAAATTTGGTGACAAACGGCAATTTAGAACAGATTTACTTATGCACCTTTTAAAAATCTGACAAAAATGTGAATGATAACCTGTTATAAGCAATGGAAAATAAAGTGAAAAGGTGTCCGTAAAAAAAATACACTTTTCCTAAATAATACTTGTAAATACAGAAGGAAGCAAACAGCAAAAATAACGTCACTCTTTAATACTGTTCTTTTGGTAACTCAAATCACAATCAACATGTAAAATACGAGCTGGGCAGGAACTCCTGTGGCAAGTAGCACAGCTTATTGTAGCACATGAATTTAACCTGTCAAGAAAACGCAGCTGGTTAATGGCAGGCCAGACGGTACGAAAATAGCCCTTTTGTGTAGTTTATGGAGAGTCTGGGGTGGGTGGGATGGAGAAGCACCCTGCCTGGGCACACCCAGCTGCCCTCCTGCAGGCAGCTTCTCTTCCCTGGTGATTCACAGGAGGCTGCTCAGCCCCACTGTCCCCATGATCGGGAGGAGACGAAGCAGCGTGCCGCGCTCTTGTCCCACTCTGGTCCAGTCCTTGTCTCCCCTGGACAACGGGGTGAAAGTCAGACCCAACAGGCCAAAGCTGCGCCAGCTCCAGCGAGTTCCCTCCGCGTGGCCCTCAGGGGATGGAGCAGGAGGAGGAGATGTCAGTGTGGCAGGGGACCCACTGCCACTGCAGCGGCTTGCCGCCGTCTCCTACTCTCTCAACAGTCCATCCAGCCATTTCCACTGAGGGCCAGGTCACAGGCAGGTGTCTTACTCAAGATATCCTTCATCACTGCAGTTCACCTGTGCCAGAGTCTCTGACAAATCTCTATGGGCAATAAAAACTGTAACACACTGCAAACAACAACAACTCTAACAGCTATAACTAAAAACTATCAACAGACTGAAAGTCTGTTTCCTCCTAGACCTACAAGAGGAATATTCTGAAGGGATCTCAACTCCAGCAATCCCATCCAAAAAACATCCCCTTCCTGGGCAGGAAACCAAAACCGCATTTTGTTCTAGGAAGAGAAACTGTAAAAATTACGAGGACGTGGGGCTCTCGGGCAGAGCCCACAAAGAGAGTGTGCAAGGCCAGAGGGAGCCAACAGCAACGCCATGCTCAGAGCCAACACATGCTTGTCAACAGCGTAGACTTAGTTCTTGCCCAGACCAAACCCAGCTGGGCAAAGTCTAGCACTGATGCTGCCAAAATGAAACACACAGGCTGAACACACAGGCTGCAGAACGATCGTTTGAGGGACAAGTGAAGCTGGCTCTCCCCTTTCTGCCTGCGAGGATCCACACCATTTGTGTTTCTTACTGCCCTCTGGAAACACTCTTGAAATGTTGATTCCCACCAGCTTCAACTTGGCACATTAATAAAAATCAAACAAGCAAGACAAGGAACAGAGAGCACTTACAAACATTTCTCCATGACACTCATCAGCTGAAGAATGCGTCTGAACTTTGAACTTAATGTGCAACTAACCAGTTACAGGGACTCTCTCTACTCACAGCATCGCTAAGATCAGACCCAATCAGGCTTAATTAAAAAAAATAATTCACACAACCAGTTGCAAAAATGTGAGCCAACTCCCCAGGCTGTCATCTTGGCTGTGACCCTGACTCATATCAACAGTGGCCAAAGAGTCACTTTCTGTATCCTCATTTGTAGCTTGGGGATCACATTCTTCACCATCCGTTACCCAAGATTAACTAGTTAATATGCTTCCACAGAGCTTTAAAGAAGCTTTATTTGTTTTCTAAGTATTCTTTTAATTCCACAGCACTATAAGTGAACCACTGGAAAAATACTTAGCAGCAAGTTGTGGGGTTTTTTCCTAAACAGGTGACACTCACTATTGGCTCTTGGCTGCTACAGCAGTCCTAGTTCTACACCCTTTGACATCAAAAGAACTACATTCAAAACAATTTTTCACAGGTAAATCCTTTTTTTTTTTAAAAAAACCAACAACTCAGGTTTACTTTGTCTGTACCTGTAACTCATCACATTTCTGACTTACAGCACGGTTGTTCACTACAGATTTTCATACCGTGGTTTTCTGAACACGGTGCACTTTATGTTCACAGACCACGGAAACCTGTTGCACCCTGTATGAGGATTTACGACTCCACGCTCCTGGTAAACTCTGTACCAACTGCAATGTCATGTAACTTATTAAGGCACAATGAAGAGCAGCAGGAAAACAGTACAGGTAGATGTAAGTCATGTCAGCTCCCAGCTAACCTGGGCAACGGGCAGTAAAGTGCTTCACCTCTGGCAGCTTCACTGAATTTTTCCAAACAGGGGAAGCAAGAAACGGATCCTGAACACTAAGTGAAGTGTAAGTCTAGGGGCTGAGCCTCCATCACACAAAAACCTACGGCAGCAGAATGTAGCAGTGACAATAACAGCAAATACATTGGAAAGACAAGCAATGCTGACCCAAAATTAAACAACTATTATTTTTTTTGGTGAACCATCAAGCTATCATATTAATAATTGAACCTTTATTTCTCTGCTGCCTTAAAGCAGGATATTTATCACTATCAATTCTATGGCAGTAGTACCTTGTGGGACCCCAGGAGAGCTCTGGGACCCACCGTACCAGGCATTATATTAACAAAAAATTACTAACGCTTGGTATAAACAGAGATGAATAACAAGGATCATATCAGTCAAGGAAGAATTCATCTTCCAAAAGTCTCTGTGGATGCCACTGCACACAGCTTGTGCTAGAACAATGTGTATTTTCTCTCCTTTTTGTGTCTGTAGCTGAGAATCACCCTTTGTTTCTGCGTCTCATGAAGATCTCCCGTAAAAGTGCAACAGCAGGAGAGTTACCTACAAACATATAAACTGAAAGAAGAAAAATATTATATGTGGCTACTTGCAGATGTCTTGAGAGTTACAAATCATGACTGAAATATTCCTGGAAAAAAAAACCACTAAGTCCAAGTGTTCAAAGTGCTTGTTCAAGAAAGGGGATGAATTTCACCTGCCACTTCCCTAAGGTCTGCATCAGCATATCCCAGAGAGGTGAGCGCAGTACATGCACCTCTGCTTCACCGCTGGGACCGGGTCACTCCCCACGGGATCCAGCCAATGAACCAGGTTCCCACACAGCATCTCCCCTACCTTGTATCTGTCCATAGGATCTTCCTGCTGCAGCTGACTCTCTCGCATTGTTTGGTACTCTCTCTCATATTTCTTCAGTTTTTTTGTTGGCACCTGCGGAACACATTTGGAAAACATGCATTTAAAGATGAAAGGAACACCGGAAAGGCTGTCTGAAAGCTCTCCATGCAAACAGGAAGGCCAGGAAAGGCTGGAAAGCTGCTGCTGAATAAAGTCACTCCCCATTGCCCCCCCGTCCCTACTCAGCAAGTCATGGCAAACACTTACCAATACAGTTCATAACGACAGAAATCTTTCTGTGCCTGCTGCTGTTCATTATCCAAATATTTAAAGGAAAACAAGAATGAAGTAGAGACATCTCAATAAGAATAACAAGAAAAAAAAAAGCATGAAGGACAGGAGTGAGAGAACAGGGAAGAGGGAAATATGCTTTGATATGTGTGATTCACCAAAACAACGCCTGAGCAAGAAAACTATTAAAAGTGAGGTTAGAAGAAAGGAGCATGCATGCAAAAGGAGTGGACAACTCCCTGGGGGAGATCAGAGTAATGGTTTTTATTGCTGAAATAGTATTAATGTCTAAATTACAGCTTGTGACCAATGCCCTCATGCAGGCTGGCAGCAGACTCTTGATGGCAAAGGTGGAGATGCTGCAGTGCTCGCTTCCAGCTGCAGCAGGGAAACTGTGAGGTGACTACGTACAAATCACAAGCAAATTCCATAAACAACGCTGCAGAAAGGCTGAGTCCCAGACAGCTTGATTCTGGGAAAACACAGCTTCACCTTAAAACAAGATACACAAAGAACACCCATGGTCTTTTAAACAAAGCACGGAGATGCTTTGTTTAAAACCAGAAGCTGGCCCTGCTAAGTGTCGGGTCATCTGCTGGCAGCTGGAGAGATCCCTAACGCCATGTACCATCACAACTCGGAATCATACGCTCTTTTTTTTTTCTCTTCCTGGATCTGTTATGTATAGATCTGTTCCTCTTGCCTATATTGATCATGCCTAGCTGACTCTTGGTCTGAGGACATGCTACTGTCACCTTGCCTTAGGGCAAAAAATCACTGCCAATGAGCAGAGATACGTGTTTACATGTAGTTGTGGTGTTGTTGTCCCTTTATTGGTTTTTCAGCCCAATACTTTCTTCCTCTGCAGTACAGGAAAGGACCAAGCAAGTGCTCAGTGTCCCTGCAGAGGCCTCCAGGAGGTCAAGGTAGAAGATGTGAAACCCATGATCTGCAAAGCACAGTGCACAGGGAGCACTAATAAAGCAGCACTAATGCCCACAGTTACTGATGAAATATTAAACCAGCCCTCCTAAAGAAAGCAAAGAGAAAAGGGTAAACGTAAAACCATGAAGCACTTCGGACAAACATACAAGAGAATTTCACTTTGATGATGCTTAATAGTACAAAACACAATGAAATGACAGAATCAGAGATGCTTTTCTATGTTTCAACTGAGCAACATTCAAGATGAAAACCCGTCCCCTTTTGTCTTGGCTGCAACTTGAAACTGTTAAGGCCACTTAATCATAGAATCACAGACTGGTTTGGGTTGGAAGGGACCTTAAAGCTCATCCAGTTCCAACCCCCCTGCCATCACCACGGACACCTTCCACTAGACCAGGTTGCTCAAAGCCTCATCCAACCTGGCCTTCAACACTTCCAGGGAGGAGCAGCCACAGCTTCTCTGGGCAGCCTGGGCCAGTGTCTCACCACCCTCACAGGAAACAATTTCTTCCTCACATCTCATCTCCATCTCCCCTCTTGCAGTTTAAAGCCATCACCCCTTGTTCTGTCACTACCTGCCTTTGTCAGAAGTTCTTCCCCACCCTTCCTCTATATTCAATAGGAAATCATTTCAAAGTAGTGCTCTAAATAAAGCAAACCAATCACACATCCGAAGCCTGATCTGTTCCCTCCTTCCATGATGCTCACCAGGATCTTATTCAGAGAAGCAGATCATGGCTGCCATGCTGGGGTGTTACGAGGACACCCTCCAAACCTACTTCTCCTGTGCTGTTGTGGAGTTTTGTGCTCCAATGTGCAACTGTCAGAAAACGAAGATAAATATGAAAGAGACGTTGTGGCGTAGTATGGCAAAGAGGTGCAACATCGGTGTGAGTTAGAAGACCATCTGTTCAACCAAAGATTGTCCTGATTCTTGATGCTTTTCATTAAAGCCTTTAAGGTACACGTAAGAACCAAGTCTCATTACACAGAGAGAGAAACAAGCCTCTCATCCACACAGCCGCATGAGTTCTTCCATAAGAATGCCACTGTCTGAAGGAACAGGAGATGTAAGACAAGTTTTTTGTGTGTAAATAGGGAGAAAAAAGTGGAAAGCAAAGGTAAAAACTGCACAGTCACAATCCTTGTCCCCCCAGCAGTTCCCCCATGCTGACATGAGCGGCACTGGCTGTTGGGGACGGTCTCCACTGAGCACCGCAATGACCCACCAAGAGCTTCACCTTTGCAGCTGCCTGGAGCCCCCTTTTCACTTAACCACAAGATTTGCTGAAATTACTTGTGAGTGAAAATCATCATTTTCTCTTTATAATCCAGGAGATAGAGACAAAATACAGCATAAAGGTCATGATCTGAGTAAATGACTCTTACCGAGAGAGCAAATGGGCTGAGCCTGTGCATGAGGAGATGACTGCTGCGTCTCGGGAACACAACCTCACACACCACAGCCAGCAGCATGCAGATCTCCTTGCTTGTTTTTTACATGCTAATTTTTCAGCTGCCCGAGAGCAGCCTTATTTCTCTGGTTTCACCTTGTATTGTCTATCAAGATGAGGCAGAATTTAACTTGCACAGAGTCCATTCGGAAGTTAATCACCTGCCTTGACAGCACCTGAACCTAATCTGGACACATCACGTCAAAAACCGTATGATAAGCAGGGGAAAATGAGAGCCAGCTCCTTCGTTTAACTCTGTTTTCCTCTGTCTTCACAGTCTGTGTTTCCACTCGCTGACAGTTCACAACCATTTGTTAATGCCTGGAAATTCATCCCACCAACTGTTCTTACCTGGCTGTTCTCCTTTACTTTCTTAAATTTTAATTCATAGCTGTGAGTAGGACCACGCCTGGGTCCTCTGCAGCTGTACGGGGGATAAGCTCCCTCTTTCATCACTAGAGCTTTCCATGGCCATGGCCTGGGGTGAAGGGTGATCCATGTGCTCTCCAGCAAGCAAACAGCATGGCCACACCTTCTTAGTAACACTGACGGTAAATAATACCTGAAACAGGGATCACATCACCAACGGTGTAAGCATCAGGGTGTAAGCATTGTGTTGTGACAGAGAACACCACCTCTGTGCTTGCTGAAAGAATATCCTGACCTATGCATATGAGTATCCATTTCTTAATTGGAAAGCAGCACCTAAATCCAGTGAGAGTTATTTTAAGGGTTTGGGGATGAATGGGAGGGTGGGGGAAATTCCTATTAGAAAACCAGTCCATACTAATCCACTTATCCCATAAAATATAAACTTGAGTGGGTAAGCTTAATAACTTTGGCAGGGACTGTGCTTCCCTGTTATTGTCTATTCAGCCACATTACTCAAAGGAGTTTGATAATTCATTACAGCACTTCTTCCTTCCGGGTATACACTAATAAATGAAAAAAAAAAAAATAAAATTTAAAAGCCCATTTCCATATTCCTCAATTTAATTCCCTGGAACAGTTTGTGACAATTCAACAAGGGACTTCTCTGTCAGCCCTTTCATAAGTAAGTGCACAGTGCTAGCTATGCTTCAATCTTCATGGACTGCTCCTGAACAAAGTGTGCTCATAAATTTTCTGTAAAAGCTTCTGCAATATTGATTTCTTCTTTCTTTAGCACCATGGGGTATATTGGCTAGAAATGATGGTTATCAAATTTAGGAGACTCTTATGGTTTATAAACATTGCTCATCTGTTTATCTCAGTATCTTATCTCCTTGACTCATTTTATTTTATTGTGTTCAAGCATAAAATCATGTCACAACTAGTCGTACACAGAGAAAAAGCCATGCAGAGCATCTTAATAAAACATCCACGCAGAAAAACTGAATGAGCAAAACCTCTTTCTGAAAAAAAAACCCCACAAACCAGTGCGCTGAACGCTCGAAGGACTCACCGCACTGAGGTGATGTGTGACCGGTGAGAAACAAAAATACTTTTGTTTTTAGCCGCCCCCCTGCTCAGACAGGGCTGGGATGATCCGCTCACCTTCTCTGGCAATCCTGCACACTCAGCTCCAGCAGACCTTTCCCTCACCCTGCAATTTCTTAGGACAAGAGGAAATTAGGCTGAGAGAGTTGGGGCTGTGCAGCCTGGAAAAGAGAAGGCTCCGGGGAGATCTTATAGTGGCCTCCCGGTACCTGAAGGGGCTACAAGAAAGCTGGGGAAGGACTTTTCATAAGGGCAGTTAATGACAAAACAAGGGAAAATGGGTTTAATCTGAAAGAGGGGAGGTTTAGATGAGATATTAGGAAGAAGTTCTTCACTGTGAGGGTGGTCAGACACTGGAACAGGTTGCCCAGAGAAGCTGTGGCTGCTCCTCCCTGGAAGTGTTTAAGGCCAGGTTGGATGAGGCTTTGAGCAACCTGATCTAGTGGAAGGTGTCCCTGCTGATGGCAGGGGGGTTGGAACTGGATGAGCTTTAAGGTCCCTTCCAATCCAAACCATTCTATGATTCTATGAAATGGCCTCCAGTTGTGCCCAGGGCAGTTGAGATGGGATGTGAGGAAGAATTTCTTTGCTGAAAGGGTTCTGAGGCATTGGAAGGGGTTGCCCAGGGCAGTGGTGGAGTCCCCATCCCTGGAGGGATTGAAGAGTCGTGTAGACATAGTGCTGAGGGACATGGGTCAGTCGGGGACTTGTCAGTATTGGGTTCATGATGGGACCTGATGATCTTAAAGGGCTTTTCCAATCGAGGCAGTTCTGGGATTCTGTGATTCTCCAGCTGTTTACACAGTTCAGCCTGACCTGGCTGGATCATGCATCTATGATTCCTCCCTCCAAATTGTTTTATTGCTCTAACCAAGCACTCAGAGGAGGTAGTTATCATTATGTTCATTTGACAGCCAAGGAAAT